CCCCATGTGTGTCACAGTAGAACTGTGCTCCACAGGGTTCTCAGTGGATGATTTTTCGTAAGTAGACCCCACTCATGGTGCCCCCATGTGTGTCAGAGTAGAACTGTGCCCACAGGGTTCTCAGTGGCTGGTTTTTCTTACGCAGAATCCACTCATGGTATTCCCTGTGTGTGAGAGTAGAACCATACACCACAGAGCTCTCAGTGGACTTTTTTTTTTTTTTTTCAGAAGATTGCCAGGTCTTTTATCCAAGGAGTCTGGGTAGATTCGAACCTCCAACCTTTCAACCAGCAGCCACACACTGTGAGTGCCAGACCAGAACTCCACACCCAATATTTCAAACAGGAAAACACTTCGAGGTGAGAGGATTGTGACTTTTCTTCTTTCTGAATTATACTTTCTAATATAGGGTCACAATGGACATACATGACTTACGAATTCTTTCTTTTTAAAAACTTGGCTGTGCCCAAGCCAGCCTGATCAGGAGGGGTGACCACTCATAGGAATGGCAGCTCAGACTCTGAGATTCACAGCCTGTCTGTGCCTCTGCCGCCCCTGTGTGGCAGAGAAGAGATCTGACACCCGGAGCCCAAGATAAGACCACCCTAGAAACCAACAGTCACTGATAACAAGTTCTTTGTTCCCTATCCACCTGGTTCAAGGCTGGGGTTTCATGAGGGCAAAGCCCCTCCGTGGTGCCCAGTGCTCCAATCTGCCCAGGATGCTGAAGAGACAGCTGCCGACTTGGGCTTGGGAGTCAAGTAAAACCCTGCCAGAGATGCCCTCTGAGGCCAGGGACAGTGGAGACCAGCAGGGAGCAAGGCTTGGAAGATGAAGGGCCAGGCTGGGCAGTGAAATCTGAACGTCTCCTTGGCCTCTCCACACCACACAGTCTGGCAGTCTGGCACACCGGGATGGTCTGTGTGGTGTTGGGATGCTGGAAGCTAGGCTGCTGGCTACCTTTTCAAATACCAGGAGGGTTACCCCACGGTAGGCAGGTTTTAGCAGAACCCTCAGACTATGACAAATTAGGAGGAAGGGCATGGTTTTAAAAGGCTACTTTCAAAATTTAGCCAGGGAAAACTCTATGGAGCACAGAGAACACTGCCCAACCCGATCCTGGCGATGCGGCCCAGTACTAGCCTGTACGCAATCACAAGACCCAGTGGCCACAACACTGGACTCATAGCGAGGAACGTGAAGACAGTGCAGGACTGGGCGGTGTTTGCTCTGTTGTACGGGGGCGCCGTGAGTCGGAGCTGACTCAGTGGGAACACCCCCCACCGTGAGATCAGGGGAGGTCCAGCAGCCTGTCCACACAGCACGGCCAGAATGGCAGGAGGACAATGTCCCCACATTCCCACGGATGGCTGCTGTTAGGAAGAGAACAGCTGGCTGTTCTGACAACGAACCATGAAGACTCAGCGAACGGTTGTCACATGTGATACCCTTGGCAGATAGCACATGAGCGGTTTAATGTAAATTCCACACAATTGGGATTAGCCACTGATGTCACCCCTGAAAGAGATGAATGAATACTGTTCTCCGCTTGGGTCACTGGGTCTGTATTCCTAAGGGTGGCAGCTAATGAATGATTTCATCTTTAAAGCACAGGTACACTCACTCACACAGCATTTATACCGGTTCTGGCTGAAACTCTCCAGAAGCTAATTTCTTAGCCCTAGATCTTAACGTCTTTGTCCTGCCTACGACCCTGGGAGGGATCACAATCTGTTCTTCTACACTGAGGCTTCAAAGCCAGATCACTGTGCTGGCATCTGCTGTGTGACCTTGGGCCACTCACCTAGCCTCTCTGAGCCGTTTCCTCTTCTCTGTAATGGGGGCAGTAGGACCAGAAGAGCTCAGTCCCTCACTCTGCCCCACAATTAGCCTTCAAAATGGATGTGACATTAAAAACAAATAAACATGATCGTCTTATTTTTCAGTCATTTTTTATTAACACTGGGGGGCACTGACTGGTTGGTGCCTCTTTGTCCACCCCTAAATCTGAGGTCACTGTCAGGGAAGCCACTGGCCACCTCTCCTCTGTCTTCCCTTTCACCTCAAGCCAGTGGTGCCTCAGTGAGTATCAGACACTTCACCTGTCCTGCACCTGACGGAAGTAAAGAACGTGTGTGTGTACCTGTGTAGGTGTATAGTGTCATTACATGTGTGTCAGTATGTACCTGTGTGCTCACGTGCACACCTGTGTTCTGTGTTTCTGTGTGTGTGTTCATGAATGTGTGTTGTGTGTGTGAGCATGCATGTGTGTGCATGGCTGTACACATCTGTGTGTTCAAGCATGTGTGTGCACAGGCACGTGTCTGCTCAAGTTTGTACCTGTGTGTGCTTTCATGCATGTTCTAGGTGTGTGCACGGCTGGGGGAGGTCTCCCACACTGCTCTCTCTCTGACCCTTGCTCTGGGTCCCTCTTCCCACCTTTCACAGCCACCAGCCCCTGGCCCACCAGCTACACAGACCTGTTTGTGTTCTCCAGAACCTCCACCTTCTTCCGCAGCTCCAAGTTCTCAGTTGAGCAAGACTCCACTCTATGGAGGAGAGAGAAAGAAGACGATCGGCTAGTCCCCAGAGCATGACTAGTAGAACTGCACTCCAGAGAGCTTCCAAGGTTGGTTTTTCGGAAGTCGATGGCCAAGACTTTCTTCTGAGGTACCTCTAGAAGTACTGAAGTCTCCAGCCTTCTGGTGACTAGCTGAGTGCGTTCACTGTTTGCACCACCAAGGGCAGAAGAGTGATTCACAGTGTGGAAGTTAACAGGTGTTCCTGTCTGACAGGACACCTCACGACCCCACAATGGCCAGAGAAGTGTGGTTCAAGCATCTAGCATGACCGATGTGGATTACTTCCTGCCACACTTACAAGCGGTACCTCCAATCAGCCACTAGGTGGCAGGCACGCACAGCTGATAAACCAACGGGCACTAAAACCAAAAACCAAATTCACTGCCACTCAGTGGTTTTCAACTTGCGAGAATGCCACATCTTTCCTCCACGGAGCGGCTGGTAGATTTGAACCACCAAACCTTGTGGTTAGCAGGATCACGCGGGGCTCACTGGGTGCCCAAGGAGCTGATTTTCCCCACAGCTCTCTAGATGCTGCCCAACAAGCCCGGGCCAGTGTGGCAGGAGGCTTACTTTTTCTCCAAGCTGTCCATGTATTCTTTCTTCTTTCTCCTGCTCTCCTGGGCAGAAATCTGAGATGTGGGGCAGAATCAAAAGAAGGATTTGTTTCCAGCTTCATAAGTAAACAGGTTGTAAGCAAACAGGAGATCACGGAAGTCCACTGGCTCTTTGGGCCTCCCCTATTGCTTTACTTAAGGAGCTCTGGTAGCGTAGTGGTTACGAATCGGGCTGCGAACTGCAAGGTCAGCAGTTCGAAACTACCAGCTGTTTCGCAGGAGAAAGATGAGGCTTTCTGCTCCCGTAAAGATTTACAGCCTCGGAAACCCTGTACAGGGTCGCTATGGGTCAGAACTGACTCGACAGCACACAACAACAATGACATTGTTTTATTCAGCCTGTGGCTCATCTCTGCCTCACTGAGTCTGGGCCTCACCAAGTAAGCCCTGACTTGAGATGAACCATGCTTACCACCCTCTCTGGTCCTGGTTTGGTACAGCTCACATCTTACTCTTTATTTAAAACTTCATATGCATGTTTGCTAAGGAAAATAAGGTGGAAGGCTGAGATGGTAAAAAGTACAGAAACACAAATGGAAGCTTCTCTTGTCCCCTGCTGTGCACCAGGGGCTCACAGGGCGGCGCTGTTGGTGGATGCTGTTGAGTGGACTCTGACTTACAGGGACCCCGTGTGACAGAGCAGAACTGACCAGAGAGCGTTCTAGGCTGTGAAAATCTCCAGCAGGTCTTCATCCCGCAACACTGTGGGGTGGGTTCAATCTGCCAACTTTTTAACTCACTGGCCAGCGCTTAACCACTGTGCCACCAAGGCTCCTGCCACAGAGTGTACGCACCTCATTTTGGAGTCCACTTTCCTACAGAGTGGACAGACAGCAGATGGGGCTGAGGAAGATGGGCCCCTTTGGATTGTGCTGATCTTTCTCCCCCCATCGGGAAGGGTTAACTATGGTCCAGACTCTTAGCCACTGAGGAGGCGTCACGGCAGGACGCAGGCTCCACCTGCCCCGTCTCTGCTCCCAGTTAGCTAGATTTGAACCCGTGGAGTGGATTCCAACTCATAACAACTCTGTGGGACAGGGTTGAGCTTCCCCACAAGGCTTTCAAGGCCTAATCTTACGGAAACCAATTGCCTCATCTTTCTCCCAAGGAACAGCTGGTGGGTTCGAACTGCCAACCTCTGTAAGGTTAGCAGCCCCCACACTGAACCCACCATGCCATCAGGCTCACCTTATTCTTGATTTTCCTGCGGATTTTCTTCAGCGCCTTCTCCTCCGACTTGGTGAGGGGCAGTTTGGTGGGGATGGGGTAGCCCTCGGCCATCAGGGTCCTTTTCTCCTCCTCAGTCAGAACCAGCGGGCCCGACCCCTGGAGCTTCTGTAAAATCAGGGAAAGATGGAGGTGAGTGGGGGCCGCTTTGGTGACTGGCGTGTGACCTGAGAGAGAGGCGCCCTCTCTGGTCCTGAGGAGAACACGGAGCCAAGACGAGGATGCAGAAATGGAGGAGATATGTGTGTGTGTGGGAGGTAACGTGTGAGGAAGGGGAAAGACCCAGCCTCCTGGAAGGGCTCACCAGCATGAAGGCTTATCGTAAGTCAGACCCCCAGGCGTCTCCCACAAAGTAGCCCAAGAGTGGATTCCGCCCGGGGAGACCCTAAAGATCAGAGTGGAACTGCCCAAAGGGCTTTCAGACAGCACATCTTTACAGAAGCAGATTGCCTCAGCTGTCTCCTGTGGACCAGCTGGTGGGTTCGAACCATCAACCTCTCAGTGACATGCTTTAACCACTGTGTCACCAGGGCGCCTACAGGCCATATGCTGTGGTTGTTGTTGTTATGTGCTGTGGAGTTGGTTCTGACTTATAGTGACCCCGTATAGGGTTTCCGAGGCTGTAAATCTTTATGGGAGCAGAAAGCCTCATCTTTCTCCTGCGGAACAGCTGGTTGTTTCGAACTGCTGACCATGAGGTTTGCAGCCCGATTCGTAACCACTACGCTATCGCTGTGGTTATGTATCATCAAGTCAGTCACAGCAACCTTGTGCAAGGTTTCCAGGGGCAGAAAACTCCATCTTTCTCCTGAGGAGGCGCTGGTGGGTTTGAACTTACAACCCTGTGGTTAGCAGTTTATCCCACAGCACCAGCAGGGCTCCGTGGACCATACAGAGCACCTACAGTTGTGACAAATACTTCTCATTTTGAGGAGATTAAAAAATAGCAAAAGTTTTACTCCTCGTGCTTCTGTGGTTGTTATGTGCCATTGAAAATCCACTCCGACTCACAGCCCCCGTGTAGGGTTTCCAAGGAGCTGCCGGTGGGTATGAACCACCAACTTTGTGGTCAGCAGTCCTGTGCTTACCCGACAGCACCACACCAGGACTACATAGAATAAACATATGACTAAGACTTGGATGAAAAAGAAGGGAACCGTGTAAGGGTGGTGAGGCTGTCATCAGTGCTGACGACTGTGCACGGAGAGGTTCTTGTTAGAGCCTTCTCGTACGTGTCTGAGGGGCACCTAGTGGGCTTGAACTACTGACTTTGAGGCTAGCCATCCAGGGCTTATCCTACAGCACTACACCATGACTCTAGAAAGATTCTTGAGAGTGAAAATCAAATTGCCCCGAGCAGCATACCCTGGATGACACACCTGGATAGAAGGACGGCACCCGAGGGGCACACCGGGATGGACGAAGGGCACCTGAGGGGCACACCAGGATGGACGGAGCTCACCTGAGGGGCACACCGGGATGGACAGAGTGCACCCAAGGGGCACACCTGTACGGACAGAGCTTACCCAAGAGGCACACCTGGATGGAAGGAGCTCACCCGAGGGGCACACCTGGATGGACGGAGCTCACCCGAGGGGCACACCTGTACGGACAGAGGTCACCCGAGGGGCACACTTGGATGGACAGAGCTCATATCTGGAAGCATCAACTCAATACTCACGTGGGGGGCGGTGAGGAGGGGCGAGCTGGACAGAGAGGAGGGGGCCCGCACCCCGGCCCGGGCGGGACTGGCAGTCTGTGGCAGGCTGAAGGGGTGCAGGCGTGGGTTGGGGCTCGGGCTGCCCTCGGAATCACTGCTGTGGCTGCTGGGAGGGGTTGGTGGGAGGTGCAGGTGGTCCACGGAGGCTGGAGGAAAGACAGTGGGTTTGTCCATGAAACAGCAATGGGAAGCACCTCGCCACTGCCGGCCCCCAGCTCGTGGAGCTCTGTACACAGGGGAACAGAACACTGCCCAATCCTGCACCCTCCCCTTGCTGGGTCCCAATTGCACCATTGTGACTGAGAGGGCTTTCTCTGACTGGTTTTCAGAAGTAGATCACCAGTCCTTTCTTCCTAGTCTTAGTCTGGAAGCTGCACAGTACCCAGACACATGCCGGCCTTCGAGGACAGACGGCTGGAGGCACGCACAAGGTGCACTTGCTGGGAATCAAACCCAAGTCTCCCACACAGAGCCACCAACGACCTCTGGGCGCTGGTTAAGCAAACTGTGTACACTGCTCAACCCCAGAATGAAGGAGCTACGGGGTGGATGCAGACAGGACTCTATGAAAGTGGTCATCTTCTAACGTAATCCTTTTGGGGGAGTAACAATAAGCCAAATGCCAGGATCCTTTACTTAAGAGTCCTCTTAAGAGCCAAAGGGCACGCCAAAATCACCCTCAACATGTCTAGTCCCAACACCCTCCTACAGTGGTTCCGGCTGCTACATTCATCCCTCCTTACTGATAATGAGGCCCCTGTGGGGTGCTAACTGAAAGGTTAATGGTTTGAATCCACCCAGGGGTGCCTTGGAAGAAAGACCTGGCTATCTTCTGGAAAATCAGCCACTGAAATTCATTTGATGCACAACTGACCCCAAGGGGGTACAGAACCAGGCAGGGGAATCTTGATGGCAGCAGGGACAATGACAATAATGAAAATTCACTCCGGACAGCATACTAAGATTTGCCTCTCAAACCTTCACTGTAAAAGGTTTGTAAGAACAAAGCGTTCACAGCAAGCCATTCCTGTTGTGGATGGAAACTCAGTCCCCGTCTCTTCAGACTGAGCATGTGTGCTGGGAAGCTGGGGAGACAGACACACCTTCCTTAGGAGAAAAGTTGAGGAACTGGTCCACCTCGTGAGGTTCCAGCTTAATCTTGGGGAAAACTGTCTGGCATGAGGACTCCACCTACAGAGAGAATTTCAAACACGGCTTTTAATACAAACCCCAACACTGAGGAACTCGCAGATGAGCCCCTGGGTGGTCTGTGTCTTCCTCTCAGAACGCCTTGATTCTCTAGGGATGGCTGGGCAGGCTCTCATTCCCACACCATAGTACTACTGATGAAGCCCTAAGTAGAGGCCATACAGTCGACTGTCTCATGGTCGTGGAGTAGAACTGCGCTCCACGTGGGTTTCAATGGCAGATCTTTTTAGTAGATTATAGGTGCTTGTGGGGGACTCAAGCCACAAGCCCTTCACTGAGGGAACTCTTTTGTTGTTAATTGCCACTGAGTCCATTCTGACTCCTAGCCACCCAGCAGAGGGTTTGTGAGGAATAGCTGGTGGGTTTGTGAATTGCTGACCTGGTGGTTAGCAGTCTACTGCTTATCCTACAGTGCCACACCAGGGAACCCTTGTTGTTAAGGTTAAGTTTCTCAAGTCGATTCTGACTCATAAGGACCCTGTAGAGGGTTTCCAAGGAGCAGCTGGTGAGTTGGAACCACCGACCTTGCAGTGCTGTTCTCTGGCACCACACCAGGACTGTCCAGGGAGCCCTACATACCCTAAAGGAAAAACCTCAGGGCTCACACATCAGTGTCTCTATCTGCTATTCTTATGGCTCCACAAATGCATTTATCCCAGAATCTTCTACTAAGTTTTGTAAAGGGGCTACTGGACCACTGCCATTTTTTCCTTTTATCGGAGACTGAGGTCACCATGCCACATCTTCTCCTCCAGCTTCCTCATGGCCTGGAACTCTCATGTACCAGGTCAGGGACAGAGAAAAGTGGCAAGGCCAGGCCCTGACCTGCGTTAGTTACATCCTTCAAAATAAAAAGGCTGTCTGGGTACAGTGGGCTTTTACAACTGATTGATCACAGCCAGTTGCAGGGTTTTTTGGAGTCTCTGTGTGGTGTTGTGGGTTAATGCACTGGACTGCAAGGTTGGTTTGAACCCTAAGGTTGGCAGTTCAAGCTCACCAGTCACTCCTTGGAAACCCTAAACAGGGTAACTCTGAGTCACATCTGACTCGAAGGCATTTAACAACAAAAACAACAACAAAGTCTTGTAGGTGAAGCAAACAGTTAACACTCGGCTGCTAATTGAAAATACTGTTGGCTCGAGATCAGGAGCTCAGTCCCTTGAAAGAAGTCTAGGGACCTACCTGTGAAACACAAGCCATCCAAAACACTGTGAAGTTCAGAGGGTGCCAGAAGTCAGCTGATCTGAAGTCTTGTGGGGCAGGGACACTCAGGCATACCCCAGGAGCCCACCCCAATGAAGCCCGGGAGAGAGGCCTGGGGAGCTACTGAGGTAGGAACCCCAGTGGGCAAGTGTCGAAAGCTCCGTCTAGAACCCTGCAACTCCTACCCAGAAGGAACGGAGCCAGCACCAAACATCTACTGACTGTCCCCTTCCCTGCCTTAGACAATCTCACTGCAAGAATGTCAGCGAAGTCACTGCTGGGTCTTCAGAAGTAAGGAAACACAGGTTTCCCACAGCTGTGAAAAGATGCCCAAGTGTGCTTCTGCTGGTCTACCTCCAGAGGTCCTCTGGGTGAACTTGAACCTCTAACCTCTTGGCTAACAGCTGAGCCTGCAAACCATCTGCATGGTCCAGGGATTTCATACAAAGGAGCAGACAGATTCTAGGTCACCCAGACAACCATGGACTCCAGCAAGACAACATCCCTGATTGTCGTTGTAAAGTGCCATCAAGTCAATTCTGACCCATAGCAACCCTGTGTAGGGTTTCCAAGTAGCAGCTGGTGAGCTTGAACCACCGACCTTGCAGTTCAAACGACTTTACAGTCTGACACATTAGCTCACAGCGCCACACCAGGACTCCTGATTGGAGGGCAAGAATCTCTATCTTGAGACCCAACCTCTTGATCTGAAAGAAAATTGAGTGTACCCCAGTATGCATGTCCAGAGGGCGTGCCTCCTTTTCCAGAGGGGTGGTGATAGCTGTGATGGTCAGCATTACAGAGGGGACAAGTCCTGGGGGTGGCTCGTCTGTAATGGGCTCTGTCTTGATGGTTGTTGACGAGAAGTCTGTAGACAGGAACCAGCTCTCATTCTCCACCTCATCTACAGGAAAGAGACAGGTAGACACATGAGCTCGCTCAGGGCACCAGGGAGCCAATCAATGCCCCAGAAGACCACTGGTTCCTCCCCTGCAAACAGGCTCCACCAGAGCGCCGCTGAGAGTAGCAAAGGGGGAGGCAAACAAACAGACGAGAGAGGGGTAAGGGGTAAGCAGGTAAAGACATGGAGGACAAAGCCAGACTCGACAGCTGCCTTTGCTTGGGCGAATGTGCTGGGAAAACCGTGAGAGGAAAGAGAAGGAACCATGGCTCCCAGAGGAGGCTGGGTGGGCGAGGAATGGGATGTTGGTGGGAGAATTTTCACCAGGTGGTGGGTCACTTCGTTAGGTTTGTTAACTAATGGAGGTATCTAGTCAAAAATAAATGGGCCCCTATCCAGAGAAGCAGAGACACCAGAGATAGAGAAGGAGATGAGGACATGGAGAGAGAGAGAGCAGCCGAGGACTCTAAACTCATGGAAAGAGAAAGGCTGGGTGTTGGTGGCCAGGAGGCAGGCTTGCTGAATGTGCCCTTTGGTTGTTTAAATGATGATCTATTCCTGAGTGTTTTTGTGTACATCAACAATTTAAAAAAAAAAAAGGAATAAATAGAAGCAAAAATTAATTAAGAAGACATTTAAAATCCTTTTAAAATTTAGGGCAAATGGTTGGCAATGAGGTCTCAGAAGAAGGAATCAAGAGGATGGTCAGGAAGTTTCCACCTTCTTCCAGAGGACCTCTCTGGAACACGAGGGTGTTTTCCGTATGCTTCCACCCTTACCTAAGCCTTAGACCTGGCTGAGCCTTCCCAGCCAAGGCATCTCGTGTGCAGCTGCCATCATGGACAGTGGAGCCAGCCATGGAGCTGTAAAGCTGTACAGAGTCCAGCTGAGCTTCTAGAAGAAGACTAGGAAGAAGGAGCTGGTGATCTGCTCCCACAAAGATGATCCTCCACTTTATCACCTGTGGGTGCCACTCAACAGTTGAGAATATAGATGGGGTGGGGAGGACAGGAGAGGAAACAGACACCCAGCCTGCCAACCTCGGCATCAGAGAACTCACCTGACAGCAGTTTTGCTAACCTGAGGCCAGTGCTGAGCAAAGATGTGCTCCCAGAAGCATGAAAACGTGCACACACACACACACACACACACACACATCACATGTGTTTGGAGGCATTACTGCCCCGGAGTCCTGGTATGGCACTGCAGGCTAATGCACTGGACTGCAAAGTCAGTTTGAACTGCAAGTCTGCGGTTCAAGTGCACCAGCCACTCCTTGAAAACCCTATACAGGTTAACTTAGTCACAACGCCCCAAAAGGACTCACACCAAGAAATTATTTTACATACAGGAAACTGACTCCCCTCTGGCTGGGCCAGGGAGCTCCAGAGACATAGCTGATATTAATATAAGGCAAAATTCTGCATCTGACTTTGCTGAGGAAGGAACAAAGAGCTTTCTGGTGAAGACAGACGAGGGGGCTGCAGTGTTCTGGCCAGGGTGGTGGGGGAGGAGGGCTTGTCGGGCATAGGACCAAGAAGGTTCTAACAGGAAAAGGAGCTGAGGAACTAGAAGACTCTGTAAAGAAAGGAAGACACTTCCGGGAACAGGCTGGGGATAGCGCTCTCCAAGCACACTGCCTCCACCCAGCCACCATCTGCTGCTGCCTGGCTCAGAGACCTCACACTCCTGGAAGCCAGCCAGGTGTCCTCCAGGTGTGGCTTAAGAGAGATTGGTGACCAGTGGAGGCGGAAGCAGAGAGTCTGGAGAAGCAGGCAGCATCCCCGAGGATAAGAAGCGAGACCACCAGGCTGTGAGGGCCCCTGGCCTTTTGTTGAGATTGTTGAAATAAAACAGTCGGCCAGGCGCCAGCAAACACAGATGTAATGGAACAAACACAAAACTCAGGGCATCAAATACTCTCAACCTAGCCACACCTAGCCACGCCATTCTCAAAGTACATCTTCATGGAACAGAACTAGATGGTTTGTGTTCCTGATTCTTGGTGGCCCAGGGCCCTGGGCCCTGTGCACAGAGGGAAGTGCAGGCACTTAGGTACCACCTGGCCAGCTCTGTCACTTCTCCCATGAAACGCAGGCTCCGCTCTCAGACACACACGAATTCTTCCCAGACAGAAGGCAAGGGCGCAGTCTTCCCCTAGCACAGAACACAAGCGAGTCCCTGCCTTCATGAGTCCACCCCAGTGCAGCTCTACAGCAACTAGGTCTCTGGCTAAGCTCTGGTGGAGCTCAGCAGCTAACCCAAAGATTGGTGGTTCAAATCCACCCCGTGACTCACAGGACAAACCCCTGGTGACAGGCTCACAGTCAAGACCACCCTATGAAGCAGTTCTACTCTTCACATGGGGAAACCATGAGTTGGAATCGACTCGTTAGCACCCAACACAGCTGACCCTTACTTGAAACATGTTTTAGCATTTGAGAGAATTTTAAGACCACACTGTGGGTTAAGGCACTGGACTGCAAAGTCGCTTTGAACTAAAAGATTGGCAGTTCAAGCTCACTAGCTGCTCCTCGGAAACCCTATACAAAGTCACTATGGGTTGGAATCAACTTGATGCACTTAACGTTTTTCAGACAATGGGGACACGGATACACACACCTTTGCCAAAAGACCTCATGGCTCATGAAGAGTACAACATCTGCATGCTTCGGTACAGTTACAGCTTCCATCACATTATACTAAAGAGGCAGCAGGGGGTACAGATCTGGGCACCAATCTGCTCAGTGCAGCCTCGTTTTCATCACAAAACACAGGAAATAAACACAATGCTGGAAAATGTTAACTTAGGGCACATCCATAAAGTAGAACATTTATAGAGCCACCAAGCTCACATTCACAAAGCCTTTTCAGTAACACAGGGAAGGGCTTATGAGAAAACAACGTTAAGGAGAACAAAAGGCTTGAATATAAACTGAGGTCCTATGAAGGGAGAAAGTGACTGAAAAAAGACAGAAAGGAAACACTCAAAAATACTAACAGCGGAAAGGTCTAGACTGATTCAGAACATGAATTTTTTTTTCTTTTAAAAACAGCACAGGCAGTGCCCAGTTTATGAATATGCAAATTATGTCCAACTTGCAGTTACGAACCAGTCCCTGTAAGCCTATTATATTAAAGATTCAATGCACATACAATGTTCATAATAACAAACAGGTGTTACTCTGCATATCCAAACCTTATTACTGCACGTATCATCGTATCAAAAATGTTTGCATGCATCAAGAAATATTTCTTCAGGGCTTTCCTTAATGCACAGAAAGAACACTAAGACAAACATCTGACTGACTACGAGCCATGCCCAGCTGTCGTTAGGAGTGGACTGCCCATCATTGTGCATTTCCTATGCTGGAAGTGTGCGGTCCATGGAAGATCACACATGGGCATGGTCTGCTGTCTGCTGTGGTTGGCACCTAAGGATGGAAATGACTGGCCAAGGACTCAACGGGCCCGTTCATTCACAATCCTTGTTTCAACTGAGGTCAGGCGTGCCTTCAGATAGGCAGCAAACTGCAGAAGTGACCATCCAGCTCTTCATCCCCGCCTCTCTGAAAGGTGTGACCATTCTTACCCTGGGCTGGGCCACATGACTCATTCTGGACAACGGATGCTCGCGTCTTAACAGAGGCACAGCCTTGAAATGCAAGTACCGTGGGAAGGACGAGTCAGGACACAAGGAACAGGCTCATTCTCAGGTGAGCCCAGCCCAAACATGGGTGTGAGTCCACCTGAGCCTGGCCGGGACCCTGAGGCAGCCCCCAGCCAACGAGCAGACACAAAAGCTGCAATAATAAACAGTTATTGTTTAACGGCGTCCTGGTGTGGCCTGTAGGGTAAGCACTGGACCACAACGTCACTTTGAACCACAAAGTCAGTGGTTCAAACCCACCAGCCACTGCTCGGGAACCCTATACAGGGTCACTATAAGTCAGAACTGACTCGATGGTACTTAACAACAATTGGCTGAAGTGACTACATTCCGGGGAAGTTTGTTATGCAACCACGTAACTAGTAGATACAATACAGCTGAGTGGACAAAGACCTTAAACCCACGATAACAGAACCATAAACACTCTGCCGCAAGGCTGGCGGTTCAAACCCACCAGCTGTTCCTCAGAAACCCTATACAGGGTTGCTAGGAGTTGGAACAGACTCAACAGCACTGAGCAACAACAACAACAACAACATCAGAGACTACTGCAACAAAATTTCTACTTCGCTCTCAACGTAATTCTTATACAAAACGGCTAACTCAACTGTAAGCTATGCTGATATGTATTTGTGGATTGGCAGGCTAGATCTACTAGTTACATCATTTAGAAAATGGTTTCCGATGAACAAAGTCAAGCTGGTAACAAGTTTGGTGACAACAACTTGCCGGGGAAGTTGAAATGAGACAAAAGTGCTGCCGTCCTAAACCATAAACTGTTCCCTCATCCTTGTCCCTCAGAGGAAATAAATCTTGATTCGTGGAGAAAGAAATGGCGAATGTGCCCCAGGAGACCACGGTGCACAGAAGACAAACAAGGATGGAATGAGAACTTGTATTACCATTTTTCTACAATGAACTTATTTTCATCTTTCTATTTTACTGGCAGAAAGATTTGTCAGGCCACACGACTCAGAAGTGGAATTATCCCTGGGATGTTTGAATCACTGGCTGAGCTACAAATGTAAGAGTCGGCAGACAGTCTACAATCCACACCCTGTAATTTCCAAAACTTGAAGCTGAGATCTTAGGGGTTGGGGTGGGTTTTTCACATCGTGTTCATATGCATTTTAAGTTTCATTTCTGATGGAAAATATCACCGGGTAAGGAAGGGTTGGAGCGTGCTGTGGGGAGTCGGAAACCATCCATCGAGTTGTCTGATTCATGGAGACGGCTTCCTTCTGAAGGTCACACCCACACTAGTTCAGCATCACGTTCAGCTGTCAAGGAGCAAACGTAACACAGGCCACCGTCTCATGGTGAGGAGCACGTCTTCACACCCGGTGACAAAACAGGGCTGGCTGCTGTGCCATGAGCCAGCAGGTGGACAGGGAGACCAAGAGAGACGTAAACCAGACCCAAAGTGGACAGGACACCAAATGAGCAACCCTGGTCATTTCTGTGCATGCAGCAGAGACAACTGTGCCAATGGGATTCTGGTCCTGGGGGGCCAAGAAGATCGAACATAAAATTTCAGTTGACAGTCCCTTCGTAACAAATACAAGGGGGCGTCTCAAGGTTCATGGAAGACGTCTATTACCTTTCCATTTCATGTCCCCATGAACTATTTTCAAGTTTCTACAAACTTATCTGCACACAAAGCACACACATAGTGTGTGAATAAATTCCTAAGAAGAAAAATCCCATGAGGCAAGTATTAGGTATGTGATATGTACACACAGCCATCCATTGGCTTATGGTGAGAAATGTGGAGCACAGCATTGCCGGTGTTAGCCTTTGCAACTAATTACGCATCATCTCAGTATTCTGCCGCCACGTGTGGTTTGTTTCTCAAGATACAGAAAACCTATCTTGCCTTCCCTCTTTCAGGGTATAGTACTGCCTTTCACAAACGATGGAGTACACATAGTCTATGTTTTTTTCTCTAAAAATGGAAAGAAAAAAAAAATGCTGTCGAGTAGACACCAACTCAAGGCAAGACCATGTCTAACAGTAGACTGGAAAAGGAGACTGCCACATCTTTCTCCCATGGAATGGCTGCTGGATTTGAACTACCGACCTCTAGTACTACCAGGGCTCCTTCTAAACCCAAAACCAAACCCACAGCCATCAAGCTGACTCTGATATTAGGGGTTGGGGGTGGGTTTTTCACAGGGACCCCATGTGACGGCATGGAACCGTCCCATAGGTTTTCTGACTCGTTCATCTTTATGGAAGAAGAGTGCCTCATATTTCTCCTGTGGAGTGGCTGTTGGGTTTGATCGCATGACCTTCTGGTGAACACTCAGAGCTCATGAAAATCCCATCTACGTGGGTTCAACAGAAGATGTCAGAAACAGGTTAGAAGGTATGCCCAAACGTTTGGATGGAGGAGAAGGATCAGAACATTTTCCTCAAGAGAAAAAAACCACCAACCCTTTTTATGAATCAAATTGTGTGTTGGAATCTTAACCCCCATACCTGTGATGGGCCCCATTTGGGATTGGGTTTTCTTTGCTATGTCAATGAGACCACATCGATGAAGGGTGTGTCCTAAACGTAATGAATTTTGAGACAGAAAAAGAAGAGATTCAGGTACAGAGAGATAACAAGCAGTTGTGGGGAAAGACAGGTGCCTCGTAGAGATCACCAGGGAATGTTGACAAGAACGTTGCAGAAGCCGAGACAGCAACATCCCCAGAGCAGACAGAGAGGAACCGACCACCCTGGGTCTGTGCCCTCATTCGGAACGACAGCCCGGCAACTGTGAGAAAATAACGATTTGTGTGCTAAAGCCACCCACTGTTTTCTGTTAAACGACACTAGAATCTAAGACCCCTTAAAGCAAGACTAGCTGCCCGCCCACGGTGCCACAGGTCCAGCAGGTCCCCAGAGGTCTGCAGGTGACTGACTATTACCGTCATGGAAGGTCTCTCCAGGAGCAGCATGGCTGAAGGGTGACGGGGTGCCCGGCTCCTCACACAGCGAGTAACTGTGCTCAGCCTGGATGAGGGGTGCAGGCGACGTCGGGGACGGTCCCACCTCCATGGACTCGCTCTTCTCCGACAGGAAGGGGTCATTCAGGAGCTGGCCCAAGACGTTCTGGGAGAACTCATCCAGAAGCTCCGAGAAGTGCTGTGGACAACACACAGGAGGAAGGAAGGAGTCAGTGTCTGGTTGACCACAAACGCTTCCTCAGGCCACCACGCCACCGCAGCTTCATGTGACATCAGCGACGGGCCAAGTCCTGAGATCTGTCCTCTCACATGCATCTGACTACAAAACTACACATGCTGTCAGGAGGGACCAGTCCCTGGAGAAGGACATCGTGCTTGGTAAAGTGGGGAGTCCGTGCAGAAGTGGAAGACCCCCAATGACACTGAATGGCACAGTGGCAGCAGCAATGGGCTCAAGGGTACCAATGATTGTGAGGATGACATAGGACCGGGCAGTGCTGAGTGCTGTTGTCCGGGGTGGGGGTGGGGGGGTGGTGGATCACTGTAAGTTAGAATCAACTCAACTGCACCTAACAACAAGAAGTAATAAATGTTGAGGGTTAGCCTTGAGCACTGTGGGCTGTCAAGTATGATCTTGTTGTCGCTGCTAAGTGCCGCTGAGTCAGTTTCCACTCACAGCAACTCTCCAGGGTTTCCAATGAGCAGACGGTAGGTATGAACCACCAACCTTGTGGTTCAAATCGACCTTTCAGTCCAGTGCATTATCCTGCAATGCCACACCAGAACTCCACGATCTATCTACGTGGGATCAACCTGACAACACCAATTTGGAAAGACTGTGTAGAAATTGTGGTACCATAAATTTACTTGATATGGCTTTTCTATCCAAAGTCTATCCTGTTTACTTCACTAATAAACCCCCAAATTACGAATATGGATATGAGTTCTGGGTGGTCACTGTAACAGATGCTTGAACCCAGCAGAGAAGTGAGGACGCAGTGGGAGGGGCGTTTGGTGTTAGAATGCGACAAAGAAGGTTGTAGGCCTAGGTGTGACACTTTGGACTTCACTCCACAGGAATTGGCCCGGGGCTGAGTTTGAATCTGAGTTTCCTCCCCAGTGTGAAGAGGAGGCTAACGGAAGTCAGGCAAGACTCCCCATGGTATTTCTACAGGAACCTCAGGGGGCAGCAAGTGTCTGTTAATGGGAGAGGAACAGCACACAAAAGGTGCTGGAAATGGTGATACAACTGCATTGCACATATACAAACAGCTGAGCTGGTTTACGTTTTCCTGTGTATACTCTCAACAGCCACAACAAAAGAAAACTGAAATATAGATACGTAACATTAATACTGATATGACGGGTCTCTAAAAAGTTTATGGAAAAATGGGGTCTCAAGATAAAGGACTTCTTCCATGTACTTTTTTTTTTTTTTTTTTAAGCTTTTATTGTGAATTGAGTGATAGTTTACATGGGAGAACATCGGCTTTACACTCATCCTATCATATTTCATTTCATTGTAATGATTACAATCCCCTCTGTGCATCATCGTTCAATAGTATTTGCTTCTATTTTTTATTTTTTGGTGTTTTTTTTTTTAATGTACACAAAAACACTAAGGAATATATAATCATTTAAACAACCAACCAAAGGGCACATTCTGCAAGCCTTCCATGAACTTTAGAAACCCTCTCATACATGGTTCCCATATGAATTTTGGGGTTGTTGTTGAACGGTTGAGTATCTTCCAATTCTTGTATGAATTCTAATTGGAGACGTTCCATTCAGAATTACAGAACTCACAGTGGTCACCTGAAATCCCTACATGGTAGAAACAGTTAATATACTTGGTTACTAACTGGACACTCCATTGTGAGGCACCTCAGAAGAAAAGCCTGGTGATTTACTTCTGAAAACTTAGCCAATGAAAGCCCCTGATGGAGTGGAGTTTTACTTTGACACACATGAGGGCGCCATGGGCTGGAACCGACTAGATGGCAGCTGGCTTTTAATCATCCTGAGGAGGGCTGGGATGCAGCTGTATGGTGGCTGGAATGAACCACCATCTGTAATTTCTCACTAGTGTGTGAGCTGGTTGCCGCCTGGGTTCCCTGCCACCGCCCTGCCCTGCTCAGCTGGACGGTCAGCGTGACTGCGCTGTGCTGAGGCTGATGGAGGTTGCAGGGGACGGGGCTTCCTCACACAATGGCTGAAATGTTTCAGGATCCAGTCACACTGCTTCACTCATTCAACATTCTTCTGGTCACAGAAAGCATCAAAAGAAGATGGAAGGAATACACAGAGTCAATGTACCAAAAGGAAATGGTTGATGTTCAACCGTTTCAAGAGATAACATATGATCAAGAGCCAGTGATACTGAAGGACGAAGTCCAAGGTACATTGAAGGAACTGGCAAAGAACAAGGCAACAGCAATTGATGGAATAAAAATTGGAATCTTTCAAGAAAGTGAGGCAGCACAGGAGGCACTCAATCATCTCTGCCAAGAAATTCGGAAGACAACTATCCGGCCAACTGATAGGAAGAAATCTGTATTTGTGCCCATTCCAAAGACAGGTGACCCAATGGAATGCGGAAGTTATCGGACAATCTCTTTAATATCCCATGCGAGTAAAGTTTTACTAATGGTAATGCAGAAACAACTGCAAGTATACATTGACAGAGAACTTCCAGAGGTTCAAGCCATATTCAGAAGAGGCCATGGAATGAGGGATATCACTGCTGATGTCCAATGGATCTTGGCTGAAAGCAGAGAATATCAGAAAGATGTTTACCTGTGCTTTATTATCTACTCAAAGGCTTT